GGCCCAAGGGCCACCCCGACCCGGGGGGTGCCCCCGCGGGGGGGGGGGCTGGAAACCCGCAGGCCTCTGAGGGCCCTGGGCCGGGGAGGGCTCGGTGTTGCCATGGAGACGGCGGCGAGGCCGCCGCGGGGCACGCCGGGAGTTGTAGTCCGGCGGCGGGTGGAGGAGGGCCGGGCGGCGGCGGCGGCTGAGGGCGGGTGGAGGCGGCCCCGGGCCGGTAAATCCGCCTAATCTGGGAGCCAGCTGTCTGCACGGATTAGGCCTGGCGCTTCCAGCCCCTTAATCCCTGCGCTGCGGGAGAGGACGCGTTCCCTGCCCTCCCACCACCACCCTGCCTGGCCTCATGGAGGCCGTGCGTACGCGCCCGTGGCCATCAGAACTAAGGAACGAAGGGGCTGTGTGAGGAGGGCGGACACCCGGAGGGGTCCCTCCTCATCTCTGCGCGCAGATAATTAGGGGGGTAGGACACAAATGCAAGCCAGTGAGAAAAAGTGAGAAGGTGGAGTTACCGAATGCTGCCCTTGCTTCGGTCTTCACTGGTAAAGCTGTCCCTCAGGAATCCCTGGCCCTGGAGAGAAGGAGGAAGGTCTGGAGGGAGGGAGACTTTCCCTCTGTCGGGGAGGATTGGGTTAGAGACCCCTTGGCCAAACTGGACATCCATAAGTCCATGGGCCCTGATGGGATGCACCCGCGAGTGCTCAGAGAGCTGGCAGACCTTATTGCTGGCCAGTGAGAAAAAGTGAGAAGGTGGAGTTACTGAACACCGCCTTTGCTTCGGTCTTCACTGGTAACGCTGTCCCTCAGGAATCCCTGACACTGGAGAGATAAGGGAAGGTCTGGAGGGAGGGAGACTTTCCCTCTGTCGGGGAGGATTGGGTTAGAGACCCCTTGGCCAAACTGGACATCCATAAGTCCATGGGCCCTGATGGGATGCACCCGCGAGTGCTCAGAGAGCTGGCAGACCTTATTGCTGGGCCACTCTCCATCATTTATGAGAGGTCATGGAGAACAGGAGAGGTGCCTGAGGACCGGAGGAAGGTAAATACCACTCCAGTCTTCAAAATGGAAGACCTGGGAAGCTACATGCCAGTTAACCTCATCTCCATCCCTGGAAAGATGATGGAATGACTCGTTCTGGGCATCATCTCCAAACACGTTGAAGAACAGGAAGTTATTGGAAGCGGTCAACATGGATTTACCAAGGGTAAATCGTGCTTGACCAATCTGATAGCCTTCTATGATGGTATAACTGGATGGCTGGATGAGGGGAGAGCAGCAGATGTCATCCACCTTGACTTCAGCAAGGCTTTTGACACTGTCTCCCATAACATCCTCATTAGGAAACTGAGCAAGTGTGGGTTGGATGAGGGGGCAGTGAGGTGCACTGAGTCCTGGCTGTGTGAGAGGACTCAGAGGGCTGTCATTAATGGAGCAGGGTGGAGTTGGAGGCCTGTAACCAGCGGTGTCCCCCAGGGGTCAATACCTGGTCCAGTTTTGTTCAACATATTCATCAGTGACCTGGACGAGGGGACAGAGTGTGTCCTCAGCAAGTTCACTGATGGTACCAAACTGGGAGGACTGGCCGACACTCCAGAGGGCTGTGCTGCCATCCAGTGTGACCTGGACAGGCTGGAGAGCTGGGCAGAGAAGAACCTCATGAGGTTCACCAAGGGCAAGTGTAGGGTCCTGCCCCTGGGGAGGAAGAGCCCCAGGCACCAGTAGAGATGAGGGGTGGACCTGCTGGAAAGCACTTCTCAGGAGAAGGATCTGGGGGTCCTGGTGGACAGTAACCTATCCATGAGGCAGCAATGGGCCCTTGTGGCCAAGAGGCCAATGGGATCCTGGGCTGCAGAGGGAAGAGTGTGGCCAGGAGGTGGAGGGAGGTCATTGTCCCCCTCTGCTCTGCACTGGGGAGGCCACAACTGGAATCCTGCGTCCAGTTCTGGGCTCCCCAGTTCAAGAGAGACAGGGAACTGCTGGAGAGAGTCCAGTGTAGGGCAACAGAGATGATGGAGGGATTGGAGCATCTCCCTGATGAGGAAAGGCTGAGAGAGCTGGGGCTCTTGAGCCTGGAGAAGAGAAGGCTGAGGGGAGACCTTCTCAATGCTTACAAGTATCTAAAGGGTGGGTTGAGGGAGGATGGAGCTGGACTCTTTCCAGTGGTTCCCAGTGACAGGACGAGGGGCAATGGGCACAAGCTGGACCATGGGAAGTTCCACTCAAATCTGAGGAAGAACTTGTTTGGGGTGAGGGTGGCAGAGCCCTGGCAGAGGCTGCCCAGGGAGGGTGTGGAGTCCCCTTCTCTGGAGATCTTCAAGCCCCAGTGGATGCTCCTGAGTGATGTGCTCTGGGCAGCCCTGCTTTGGCCGGGGAGTTGGACTGGAGGATCTCTAGAAGGTCCCTTCCAACTCCAACAATTCCATGATTCCATGATTCCGTTTTCTGCCTATTCTCATGACTTTTTTCTGTATCCTTTCACTTAACGCGGAGCATCCCCAGGACAGGATAACCCTCCTCCCAGGAGCTCCAGCTCTCCCTCCTGCCTTAAAGCTGCAGTGAGTCCACGGGAACTCAGAGCCTACCGTAAATAAAAGCAGAGTTGAAGCTGCAAGAAAATCCCCACTTTCAGGTTGGGATAAATTCACTTTTTCTTCTTTTCAGCGTGCTGGGTGCACACAGATCACCGGGGCACGGGTCAGTGCTTTGGCTGTGGAGGGGTAAGGAGTGATCCTGGGTGACATCTGTCTGTGGGGGGTGAGTCGATGCTGCCACTGTGGAAATGCCAGAGAGGCCAGGGCTGGTGTGCACCGTGCAACGTGCATCGTGTGGTGTGCAACATGAATCACGCACTGTGCGTCACACATGGTGTGGTGTGCGACATGCAACACACATCATGCAACGTGCATTGTATGATGTCCACCATGAATGGCGCACCGTGAGCATGTGACATGCATTGTGCAATGTGAGTCGTGCATCGTGCATCACTGATCATGCAACATGCATCACGTGGTGTGCAATGTGAATCACGCACCATGCATCACGCATGGTGTGGTGTGCAATGTGCAACATGCATCATGCAACACGTGTCTTGCAACATGCATTGTACCATGTGCAACATGAGTGTGCAATGTGCACTGTGCAACACTAATTGTGCATCCTGAGTCACGTATCATGCAATGTGCTTCATGCAATGTGCAACGTAAGTCATGCACTATGCGTCACTTATGGTGTGTGGTGTGCAGCACGCATCGTGCAACACGCATCGTGCCATGTGCATTGTGTGATGTGCAACATGAATCGTGCACCATGAGTGTGTGACGTGCATCGTGCAACGTGAGTCGTGCATCCTGCATCACGGATCATGCAGCTTGTCTCGTGTGCTGTGCAACGTGAATCACGCCCTGTGTGTCACGCATGGTGTGGTGCATCGTGCACCGTGCATTGTGCAATGTGCACCGTGAATGCCGCACTGTGTGCGCCGTGCCACCCGTGCAGCGTCAACGGTGCATCCTGCATCATGGATCATGCAGGTTGCCTCGTGTGATGCGCAACAAGAATTATGCACTGTGCATCATGCATGGTGTGGTGTGTGACACGCACCGTGCACCGTGCACTGTGCGATGTGCACCGTGAATGCCGCACCGTGAGTGTGCAACATGCATCCGTGCAACATCAATGGTGCATCCTGCATCACAAATCATGCAGGTTGCCTCGTCTGATGTGCAACAAGAATTATGCACTGTGTCACACATGGTGTGCTGCATCGTGCACTGTGCATTGTGCGATGTGCACTGTGAATGCTGCACTGTGAGTGTGTGACGCGCATCCGTGCAATGTCAATGGTGCATCCTGCATCATGAATCACACAGCTTGCCTCGTGTGGTGTGCAACAAGAATTATGCACTGTGCATCAGGCATGGTGTGGTGTGCGACACGCACCGCGCATTGTGCGATGTGCACCGTGAGTGTGCGACGTGCGTCTGTGCAATGTCAGTGGTGCATCCTGCATCACAAATCACACAACTTGCCTCGTGTGATGTGCAACAAGAATCACGCCCTGTGCGTCACGCATGGTGTGGCGTGCGACACGCACCGTGCACGTGCCTTGTGCGCTGTGCACCGTGAGCGTGCAACACGCATCCGTGCAGCGTCAACGCTGCATCCCGCATCCCGCGTCCCGCCGCGCCCGGCCTTGTGCGAGGCGCAACGCCCGCCTTGCACCAACGCACCGTCACGCGCCGTGCAACGGCACCCCCGCGCCCTGCGTGCTGCCACGCGCCGCGCCCCGCCCCCGCGCACGCGCCCGCCGCCCGCCCCGCGGACGCGCCCGACGGTGCAGCGGGGGAGGAGGAGGAGGAGGAGGA